AGCACCAGCACTGTCTCAATCATCTGGCATCATACGGGCGATATCACAAGTCATACGAACAGTCACGATCTGTATGTGTGTGCGAGCAATGTGAAACATGTCAAACTGTCCTCCTGTCGTGGACACTGTTGACCAGTGTGTTCTCTACCAGTCAACCGTTTACAGCTAATCATCCACTCTGAACATGAACCAGATGACCACACTGTTCAAACACACCAACCACAGACACTTCTGTCCACTGTTCACATGTCACAGGGTCCAACTCACCTCCAGAATTATTACAGAACGGGACGATTAAGCAAAACCTGATTCAGTTCATCACAAACAATGTTCAGGTCGCACAAGTATCTCACTGTCGAAGTAATCAATCTTGCTCAACATCGTGATACCTGAACTAATAGAATCCGTGTATTGTGAACCATAGTGTGCTCTCGTCTCACTGTATCCGCCACTGATTTGACTTGATGTTCAATAATACATTTGATTAGCTCTCATTATCACTTCGATGTATTGGTGTATTGTCAAATCTCACCCACACAATGTGTGTACACTCAGTGTTGTGAAATTGTTCGACGTGTACACACTTGTGACTTGTGTCGAGTGACGGTAGAACCGCGGTCACAGAAACAATCAAGTCAGCTCACCTAGTGAGCTATCCGACCAAATCGGCTATATCATTTTGGGAATGCGCTTCTGAATTCGGTCGAGCATTTGTGATTGGTCTACATGTAGATTGATAGTAGAGCGATGAGTGGAGAGACGTGTAGGTGTCAGTGATTGTGGTTCATGCGTGCATGCTTGCCGACTGCGAACGTGTAGAGCGACTATGTGGTTGATGGGTAGTCCTCGTCGACCAGTTGATGAGCATGCAGTTGACAGTCGTTTCTTCGTCTGTCTGATCAAGTAAGGCACGAGTGTTTTGTTTCCGTTCGCTTGTGGAATGAGTTCGGGTGGACTATTCATCTGTGAACGACACCGACTTTTGACTTGTTGTTGATGCACGATTCCCACAAACTCTCATATGTATGAGACTAGTTGGATGGTGTTGATGAACTGGTGATATGTGGCGTGAATCGATCGGTTGTGGAGAGTTGTGAAGAGGAGGACATACGTGATGTGTTGTTGATCAGTTGAAAGTGGGAGATGATTGTGTAGAGAATATGGCTAATATTCCGTGTGTAGAGAGACGAAGGGACAATGAGTATGAGGTGAGTTTGTTCGATAGTATTATTTGAGAGTAGATGTGTTATGACGTGTAGTATTCTGTTGTGAAATGTTGTTATGGTTTGTTTGAGTGTAATGCGTTTTCGATGGAGGACGATTGTGGCGGCGTAAACGTTCTCCGGTAGCTTGGTTGGTTAGAGCGCCGTACTTATAATGCGGAGGTCGAGAGTTCGAGCCTCTCTCGGAGCACAGATTTTAGTGCAGTACACAACATTAACCTCAGGTCTGCAATCAGTGTTCCATGTGGCTGAGTGTCCTGTGTGTGTGAATGTGTGCTCACTGCCATCTGCCTGCGTGTCGTGCACACAAGCATAGTGTGGTGACCGGACAAACACGAGTTCGGTGCATGGTCATATCTAATTGGCGAAGCTCGTTGGATCGGTCGGTGCGTTGTTGTTCAAATTGTCGACACTATTTATTGCTAGTGTGTTGGTGGTTTATCAGAGGTGGTCGTGACGATGGTGTTGGCTGCACGAGCTCGGTTTCAATAGTGACTGTGCAGCACCAGCACTGTCTCAATCATCTGGCATCATACGGGCGATATCACAAGTCATACGAACAGTCACGATCTGTATGTGTGTGCGAGCAATGTGAAACATGTCAAACTGTCCTCCTGTCGTGGACACTGTTGACCAGTGTGTTCTCTACCAGTCAACCGTTTACAGCTAATCATCCACTCTGAACATGAACCAGATGACCACACTGTTCAAACACACCAACCACAGACACTTCTGTCCACTGTTCACATGTCACAGGGTCCAACTCACCTCCAGAATTATTACAGAACGGGACGATTAAGCAAAACCTGATTCAGTTCATCACAAACAATGTTCAGGTCGCACAAGTATCTCACTGTCGAAGTAATCAATCTTGCTCAACATCGTGATACCTGAACTAATAGAATCCGTGTATTGTGAACCATAGTGTGCTCTCGTCTCACTGTATCCGCCACTGATTTGACTTGATGTTCAATAATACATTTGATTAGCTCTCATTATCACTTCGATGTATTGGTGTATTGTCAAATCTCACCCACACAATGTGTGTACACTCAGTGTTGTGAAATTGTTCGACGTGTACACACTTGTGACTTGTGTCGAGTGACGGTAGAACCGCGGTCACAGAAACAATCAAGTCAGCTCACCTAGTGAGCTATCCGACCAAATCGGCTATATCATTTTGGGAATGCGCTTCTGAATTCGGTCGAGCATTTGTGATTGGTCTACATGTAGATTGATAGTAGAGCGATGAGTGGAGAGACGTGTAGGTGTCAGTGATTGTGGTTCATGCGTGCATGCTTGCCGACTGCGAACGTGTAGAGCGACTATGTGGTTGATGGGTAGTCCTCGTCGACCAGTTGATGAGCATGCAGTTGACAGTCGTTTCTTCGTCTGTCTGATCAAGTAAGGCACGAGTGTTTTGTTTCCGTTCGCTTGTGGAATGAGTTCGGGTGGACTATTCATCTGTGAACGACACCGACTTTTGACTTGTTGTTGATGCACGATTCCCACAAACTCTCATATGTATGAGACTAGTTGGATGGTGTTGATGAACTGGTGATATGTGGCGTGAATCGATCGGTTGTGGAGAGTTGTGAAGAGGAGGACATACGTGATGTGTTGTTGATCAGTTGAAAGTGGGAGATGATTGTGTAGAGAATATGGCTAATATTCCGTGTGTAGAGAGACGAAGGGACAATGAGTATGAGGTGAGTTTGTTCGATAGTATTATTTGAGAGTAGATGTGTTATGACGTGTAGTATTCTGTTGTGAAATGTTGTTATGGTTTGTTTGAGTGTAATGCGTTTTCGATGGAGGACGATTGTGGCGGCGTAAACGTGCTCCGGTAGCTTGGTTGGTTAGAGCGCCGTACTTATAATGCGGAGGTCGAGAGTTCGAGCCTCTCTCGGAGCACAGATTTTAGTGCAGTACACAACATTAACCTCAGGTCTGCAATCAGTGTTCCATGTGGCTGAGTGTCCTGTGTGTGTGAATGTGTGCTCACTGCCATCTCCCTGGGTGTCGTGTCACTTTTTCATTGACGTTCTGTTTCTTTTATTCTGACTGAAAATTGATGTTATGTTTACTTTGGTGGTGTTGTATGTTAGTGTATATCTCTGACTTATATATCTGCTTGTTTTTCTCGAGCGTAACTATCTGTTCATTTACTAAAATTATCGGAAAGCTTTTATTGACTAGGCGATTCGATAATACGTGCACAATTCTGTTACATACCCCTCAGAATGTCGTGCTGTATTTTATTTCGCTAACTTATATATACTTCCTAAGAAAGCGAAGTCATATTTTGATCGATAACAAGAGCTCTTGAACAACTCTCACTTATTATCCAGTGTGTGTATGATTGACCCGATGTATTACTTACGTGAAGGTAGAAGTACAAAACCTGAAAACTAACTCAATCCCTCTTAGCAACAGTCATAATAGTCTAGCTTTCCAGTGCTGTAAATATGTTATTACAAATTATCCTTAATTTATATTTCAATAAGTTATAAGGGAATTACAATACCTTGAATAACAGATGAACTAAGTATTTCTTATGAAATATCTTAACTATTTACTGGTTCTGAGAAGTTTCACAGTAACATAACATTCTATACACTTTAATCAAGTGTCTGCTAGAAGTTTTCACGAATCAACAATAGATTCATTAGTGTTTATTGATTTATTTAAAGGGAAACTAGCATAATGTATACTATTTTGAACAGCACTACCTATAATTTAAATTATACCAAATTTATGAAAATAAACTTTGTTCAAAAGATTAGACACGAAGTTATTTTGATTTATATTCAAGAGAAAAAGGAAAAAATGGATTTTCCATAAAACACTCAATAAACCGATAGTTGATCGTTTTGTAGTGAAAAAGAACACTAGTAGGTACAATCGAATGTATTTAGCACAAAATTACAGAGTTACTCGGTAAAATAGAAAAACCATATAGCAAATCGTTAATTTGCAAAATATCAATCCATCATATCAACCTGGACTGTTCCTGTTGTAAACATCAATCCATTGTCTCACAATTTATTGTTAATGTGTTTTCTTATCAATTGCATTGTGTTCCAGCTCTTCCTTTCTTGATCTTCTTCCATCTTCTGCTGCCAGACATTGCGTCTTAAACTCGCGTCATATACTACTTATATCAATATACGTAGCACATACCACGATTTCACTTCCAGTTATGTCAGTTCCTTTATTATTTAAAAAAAAACTTTTTTTGTGTGTTTATAAAAATTTAAAATAATTCTGATTGGTTGATTTTATAAAATTATTGAATTTTTACAGACAGATAACGTGTTTTAATGACAAACACAAATAAAGTAATTTAAAGATATTAATATAAATAAATAAATAAATAAATAAATAAATAAATAAATAATTCTCTTATTATAAATAAAATATTTTTGTTAGAAAATAAAAACAAACAAGAAAACATCTTTTAAAATTTAAAACAAAAAAAAGAAAGAAAACATAAGGGAATCTAATAAAGTTCAAGGAATATCAAAAGTAAACAGATTTTCACCATTGTTTCTATTTATTGATAAATATGATGATCATTATTTAAAAAAACGACTCGAATTCATGAAAAAAAAATCACGAATAAAGGAAATATTTCAATGACTTAGTGATCACTATCTTTTTTTTGCATTTTTTATGTACTTTTCAGTAATATGCATTATGAAAAATGTACTATTAATGTATTCAATATTGTTATTGTTATTCTTATTATTAATCATCATTGATAATTATTATATTATGTGTAATTCATGTCATTTACAAACCGATATTAAATTATTTCATTGTTCACATAAAGGATTAACAACATTACCTGGATTTATAAATGAAAATACAATTGAATTAGATTTATCATATAATTATATTGAAATATTACATGAAGATAGTTTTACACGTTTACAAAATATACGTAAATTAATTTTAGCTCATAATAGAATATATAAAATTACTGAACGTGCATTTCTACCGATTGTTAATTCATTAATTTGGTTAGATTTAAGATTTAATCAATTAACATCAAATTTTCATAATCCATTCCCTGTATTAGCATTTTCTCAACTTATTCATGTTCGTTATTTAGATTTAAGTGGTAATGAATTGAGTTATTTACCAGCAAGATTTTTATATGGTATGGGTATGAGTTTAAATCGATTAGAAATGAGTTTATTATCAAATAAAATTTATACAGAACCAGATACATTTAATGGTTTAAATCGATTACATCATTTAAATCTTGCTCATAATATATTTGCTAATCTTATGGAAGATGCATTGCATGGTCTAAGACCAGAACATTTTTCTTATTTAAATTTAGAAGGTGTAAAATGGATATGTGATTGCCAAATATTATGGTTTCGTCAATGGTTAAATCGATTACCAAAAAAAGCTTTATATGTTAATTCAAAACCGGGTGGAGAATGTGATTCACCATTACAATATCAAAATGTGGCATTAATGTATTTAAATTTAACCTCATTACAATGTGAACCGGAATTAATGCATACCGTACCATCTCATCATGGTGATAAAAATGATAAAAATAACGTGAAAATGAATCTTACTGATCATGTCACCACACCAATTCATGTATATGGTATACAAGGCGAAAATTTGACGTTAGTTTGTTCATTTATTAGTGAACCAAAAATGCATATTCAATGGTTTTACAATGGGATATTAATACAACCACATTGGTCACATATTATTCAAACTGTTAGTCCTGGAATAAAATTTACGACTACATTATTTTTTAAACAATTAGATAAAACTATGGATGAAGGTTATTACAAATGTCAAGCTAGTAATTATAAAGGTCAGGCTTCAGCTACATTCTATGTTCATGTACAAAAATCAAATGAAAAAAGTAATCAGTTACAGTTATTTAACGAAAATTTAAACAATGAAGTAGATTATACTTTTTTATTTAATCCGATTATAATTACTATCTTTATCGTAGTATTTAATGTTACTTTTATAATAATTGGTTTATTTATAGTAAGATGCATATACAATAAACGATTATCGCATCAAAATCATAAAATAACATTGTCTAATGAAGGATTGAAAACGAATATTGAACCACATAATGTAAGTTATGAGAAGTTGATAACTTCAAATTGTGGTCCGAATAATAATAACAATAATATTCAGCCTTTTACACAGATTAATGTCAATCCTCTCAATAGTAACCAAAATCACAAAATATGCACTGATTTTATTTCCATATCTTCCAAATTACACAATGAAGATTTGAGTAATCTACAGGAAATCGATAGTATTCAACAGATAGACAATCGATTAAATGATGGAAATAAACGTTACCCAGGTGATTTATTAAATAATAACAATAAAAGTATATTACAAACAAAATTATTAAATCATTCAATGAAACAAGAAACACCTTCACCACAAAGTAGTGATATGGGTTATTTAACATCAAATGCATCTCAAAATTGTGAAAGTCCAATTGATTTAAATCCAAATCATAATGAATACAACTCTTCAATAAAACAATTAAAACCTAGAGTTTATTATACATTAAGTGTAAGATCTGGAAACCATTTCCCTGAATTAATTTATTCTTTAAATAATACAAATGAAAAACATCATTTAACATGTTCAATGGATCAAGATTGTTCAATATCTGATAGCTCATTATCACCAAAACAAATATCTTGTTCTCTTGAATCATATTCATTTCATCAACATTCTGGCAAGCATCAAAATAATACAAACGTTTGTCATGATAAGACATTAGATCAAACTTCCTGTCCAATACATGGATTAATAAATAAGAATGATAATGATTTCAATTCAAGTTATTTAATACAAAATCATAGTAATTCTGATTGTCCAATACACGGAAGTAACTCTTTTACAAATTTAGACAAATCTTCTCATAAAAATGAAAAAAAAGGGACTAAATAGATCTAAACAATATCCCAATAAATCTTTTAGTCTAAATTTAAATTATTCAAATAGGATTTTACTAGAATCAAAGAAGATGAATTCTATAGATAAAACTTACAATAACACTGAAAATTTACAATAACATCATATAATTATCTGTACATAGTCAAATAATTTCGATTCATCAATCAATAGAATCAATACCATCATATCAGGTAAACAACTTGCAAATTGATCTATTTATTGTTGATTGTATAGTTCTATTGTTATTTCAGACAATTACAAATGTAACTTAATAAAGTTTTAATATAAAAATAAATTATTGTAAATTAATGAAATTATGTAATGTTTAATTAATTTTCTAACTTTACCTAATGTATGATAGTTAGTAAGAGCATTTAATGTGGTACTTGATTAAAATTCTCAAATGAATAATCACAGTTCTTAGTTGAAATTAGTGATGCTGATGATATTCGATTTATTTTCCTTTTTCTTTTTTGCAAATGAGATATTGAATAAATCATGCGAATATAATTGCCTGTAACAACTTGTTAGATAATTTTCTCTCATTTTCTTGATAGGTTTTCTTACACAATGATTTAACATTAGACAAATAAGTTAGCTTTATGGAGAATTTATGGATGATAATTAGTATTGATTTGTATAACATGCATATATTTTGATTAGATACAAAATATTGTGGATATAATTATCTTACTTATTTCCATGTCATACATAAGTTTATCGTTATATTAATCGGTCTATTTTCTGACATGTTCCAATAGCCGAAATACCTAGTGTACAAATGTGTGAAGATGTATACAAATTGTAATTGTTAGAATTATATATATGTATAACCCATTGAACTATAAGTTAGTATATCTCAAAGGGTCTTGAAAAGCAAGCTTTTAATGTGACATTTTAAGATTTCCTGTTGATTAGTTTTAAACTTTATTGGTTGTCTAGGTTACTAATGAAAAGAAGTTTTTATTTAATTGAATTATAGACCGTTTTTGAGGATATTAGTCCTTCAATTAATAGTTCAGTCCTCAAATTCGATAGTAAAATTTCGGCAAAGATTGATACATAATCACTAGGCTGAATAATGTGAAGCATTTAGGAATAAAGCAATAAAATTTAGCGGTTTGTTAACTTATCATTATCGTATATAAAATAACGTGTATGTCCTTGTTAATTCATTTAGTTTAGTGATTTTAAACTAAACTTAACAGTGCCAAAACAATAAAATTTTCAGAATGAAGTGAATTCATTCTATTCCATAGCCTCATTTCATCTGCAAACAGACTAAAATTACAAGGAATAATATAATAATATAATATACTTTAACCAGTGAATTTGCAAACGTAATCAAAAGTTATAAGAAGAATAAGATACGAAATAATATGATTGACTATAGCTGGGACTAATACTTGTATATATGTCTCAAGACAATAATAATAATAATAATAAAACAGAACTGAGTAGTTGGTGTTTTGGTTACTAATAATTGGATTTACGATAAACGGATTACTCGGTCGTATAGAAAATGGTAAATAATCATTTAGTTACTGAATGTAGTTTAATTTAAAGAAATACCTTTATATGAATTTGAAATTTGGAGGTGGTCGAACAACTGATGCAATTAAAAATCGGCTACCAGTAGCGATAAAAGCAACGTTCTATGAAGCAGAGCTGCGAATAACACTCTCTTGTTGGGACCTGTCTTCTGTATCAATGAAAGATTAGCTTCCCCGTCTGCTCGTTTCTTTGTGCATCTTACAGTTTACCTGCTCTCGTGGAGCAAAGTACATAGGGTTTTGTCAGCGTTTGTTTCATAATTGTCTCTGATATTCAGTTGGTTTTACACTTCTATTACGTTTAATTTTTGTTACAAAAACATTTTAATCATCTTACTTCGTTAACATTACAATCCGTTGCTAACTTAGTATAACTAGGCTTTCTATCTGCACGCACACTATCCTTAATTGTTACTATTTGTATTGCGGAATCTAGTATTACAATATTTCTATTATATTAGATTATTATTCTTTGTTCACATGTCCTCACGGAACTAGTAAATTAACAAAACGTTTCATAATATAATATACGCTTGTACAGCTTGATAATAAATTCGTTGAAAAGAGATCCCTTCGCTGAACTTCGTGTCTATAACATTTAATTGGGAATTATTGGATAATCTTAAAGAAGGGAGATTCACTTCAAAAATGTTTATTAGAACATTATGAACTAAGTAATGTAATTTTGAAAACCTTCATTAGCTTTCGCTTGGAAGACAGACTAATAAATTCCTGTGTCCTATGTATGGATTTTCGTTTTCCTTTTACTCGGTTTTTTGAATTACTAAAATAATGAGGGTATATAAGTTTGCATATTCTAGGAAAGAATAGGTATACTCGTTGCCATTCAATGAATTAAAGTCTTTGTTCGTCGCATTTAACGTAAGCTCGGTGATGTTGTTATTAAAGATTTGACGCCTTGTATATATATACACGTTTCATTATTATTTTGTTGGTAAGTAATCACAACATTGACTGGAAAATCTATAGTTAAAGAAGCTCTGAGAAACTAATTAGAATTAGTTAAAATAACTCGATTTCACTAAATTTATAGGACTTCAAATAACAGTATTTGTTTATTGCTCAAATATTGGCAAAAATAACAACAGTTTACTCATCCGATTGATACTGAAGTTAACTTTTAAATGTATACGCTATGCCGGAGCTTTTCATCCAGAAGAAGTATGTTCAACCGTTAGTTTTACCTTGACCAACTTCTGACCTAATTGTTTAATAATCATTTCTATGATATGGTGACGCAATTTAGTTAATGTTCATATTCATAGCTTAAACGTATCTTATTCACACATCTTGCCATTATTCACTATTATTAATAATAACACTGCCAATGTTTTTAGAAAATTAATTCAGGACCCAGCCGTATTTACTAATTCGTATTTAATTCATATTATTCTGCATATTACATGATTCCTAATTTGTAATTACATCATTATCTCTCTTACCACAATGTTGATCATATTTATTCTGATCAATAATCTCATTATTTAATTTAACGTATATTCAAGTTAACACTTCGTATTAATCACCTGGACATTAACGATTTGATTTGATTTTGGGCTACAAACAATCCTAAATTCACAGGCCAGATTTTGAGATTATTATTTCGGATGTATTGTAGAACCTGAACAGAAATGATTAAAAATGAATATTCTTCGTTCATATTATGGAATATGACAGTGATTAAAATGTCTAATTGCCAATGGACTAGTTTATCCAAAGTATTTCACTAATATCTGCTACTTGTTATGAATAATTTTAAATACTGTATATACGTATGACGCCTAGATAAAGATTGTATCTAAATAAAGCCTCAGAGATTACATACATTTCCGGTTTGTTGGTTTGTCTCAGTAAAAAGTTACAAAAGACAGTGTTTCCGTTGATTGATAAAAAAACTACTGTCAGTTAAACAATTAAGTCTGTTTCATTTAGAAGGAAGCATGTCTAATTCCTGTTATTTTTTAATTTTTACAAACATTAATGAATATTTCACTGGCTATCATGCTGAAATAACAACCACATTATCATTAGTATTCACTTAGATTATTTGCAAGATATCATAAATAAACAACCCTTATTTAAATACATCCCTGTCTATAGATCTTTAATTCACAAAATCTAAATGAGATCAACAAAATAAAAAAGGAAATCATAAAACATCAAAACGAAATATGTATTTTGAGCTAGGGGGTCGAAATAGGTCTGCAGAACAGAAAATGTAAACCTTGTATGATAATTACTAAGGAACTTTCATTATATAAAGTTTCAGCAGGAAATAATTTAATTGTTTGCTGGAAAGATCAATGACAGTTGATTTATTGAGAATTAACCAGTTTATCTATCCAGGCTATTCTATCATTTGAAATGTGAATTTACTACGTTGGGAGTTGATCCCATTAAGAATAAGTTTGTTTATTAGATGTGGCGTATGTAAATTAACATTCTTCGGTCATCAGATAAATTTCGTTTGTAATATAATATTTCTAAATTTTGTCGAAGGATTTTCTCAGTATCATTTTAAATTTCGATTTCAGTACCTTAACTAAGATCACTCAAGTTTGTTTGTTATAAAATAAATTTACAAATTATCCATATACTTTGATCAGGGATGTTTTGAAATATTAATAAGTAAATACTGAAATAAAGCGTATTTATGTTTTGCTTTGTTATCGTCTGATTTTTATACCGAAATACACACTTCCCACATATGACTCCAACATGAGTAAAAAGACTTACAATGAATAAAAAGCGATACTGGCAAATCGAATCCATTTGTACATAAAGTCATTTAGGTATGTATAATCCTCAAATAAGCAAACCAAATCTTGACCAACAGCGTACCTCTCACACACGGTTTAGCTTTGAATAAGCCTATGAGGACAGCAAGTGATATGTCTTTATTGGTTCAGTTTATAATTTTATCAATTCATCTAGTATCAGAATGGGTTTTGTGGAGAGTTTTAGAAATTTCACAGGTTGAAATCATGAGTCGATTGAAGCTAGACCACCATGGAGAACCTGGAAGCACTGGACGGCCGTTTCGTCCTAGTTTGGGACTCCTCAGTAGTGCACATACACGATCCCGCACCACGAGGGGCTCGAACCCAGGACCTACTGGCTTCGCGCGCGAGCACTTAACCACTAGACCACTGAGCCGGCAAACAACGGTGTTAATGTCTAACTTCAACCAATCCACGACGTTGCGCCACCGTACACCATTGTCTTCAGTGAGTTACTACATCACAACAGGCCTGGTTGAACTGAGGAGTCCCATACTAGGACGAAACGGCTGTCCAGTGCTTCCAGGTTCTCCATGGTGGTCTAGCTTCAATCGACTCATGATTTCAACCTGTGAAATTCATTTACTGTTAATTATTTGTTGCCTACTACTATTAAACATTGTTTCATGGATTTGAACCT